TATAATGCTAGAGCAAACACAACCATACCTTGATCATCATTTAAATGCCCCTGAATGAGGTTTTAAAGAAAATCCCAACAGACGCTGAGATGTTCACCTTTAGGCTTCACAAAAGAATTAATGGTTTCTACTTTAACCCTCATAAGCTTAGCTAACTTTTTACGATAACATGATTTTAGCTTTCAGGTAAATACTTTATCTGAACATTATAGTTTTATTCCAAGTAAAATTGAATACTCTTTAATAGTTGGCACCAAATCTTCTTGATTAAAAGTGAAACATCTATAGGATGGATATCAAAATTGTATAATTGCTCTGATCAACTGTTCATCAATCACTACCGAAATGAGGGATGCAATCTGCTCGTACTTCTTACAAAAGCTTTCTTTTTTTCTTCATTTAACTGACCCCAAATGGTGGCTAAGTCTTCTAAATCATTCTGTGTGAGATCTAAATATACTTTTTTAGGTAATTCAGACACATAACCGGTAGGTAAACAATCTCTATTCTTTTGTTGAGCTTCTTTCGATCAAACATGTATTTTATTATACGACTCACATGGCACACTGACTGAGGATGAACAAATCTGTAGTTCTATGGGATTCATGAAAACTTCTTGGGAAAAATATGTCATAGAGTAAATATCTCGATGCAAAACTATATGATATGATTAATGCAAAAAAAAAAAACATGAAACAAATTGAGTTAGTGTGAAGATGTGGTTTAAGAAAAAAATATTTTTTGTTTTTTAGTTTTGAGATTTTTTTTTTATTTTATTTTGTATTATACACAACTTTTATTCTTAGGTATTTCTTACAAGAAGGTGGATAAGGTTCTACATAAGGCTGGTTTCATAGGCTTATTATATGCTAGGTTTAGATTGAAAGTGTCTAAAAGTTCTCAAATTATTCCTCACTATCGTCCATATTGGACTAGTAAGGTACCTCAATCTTCACCAATTACAAGCTACGAACGAAAAAGGTTCAATTCGAGTGGAAGTATTTCACTTACCATTGCGGAGGTTATCACCTCACAAGGGCATAGGTACTTTACTTCCTCCTATAAAGGACGGAGTCCAGGTATAGAGCTCATGCATGAGATGCATCATGTCATTGTGTGTAAATATATCCTAATTTATTAAAAGTAATATATACACAAAAATAAAACATAAGAGGCATAGTAAAAGAAATGTGTGTGAATTTTTTTGCTTTTTATTTTTTATTTGTTTTTTTTTTACCTTTTTTATTGAAAATGAAAAATAAAAATCTAAAAAATTGATTAAGACTATTTAAATCAAAATTTGAGGATAACAAGTAGTTAATTTTGACTTGACTCTTAAAAATAAAAGCAGTCCCCAGCGGAGTTGCCAAGCTATCATAATAGTTTTGGAGCCGCCTGACGAATTTGGAAACGAAAATAAAAGAATGAAAAATAAAATCGCCACCAATCTTTTTTGGCTAGGTGCGATTGGTCACCTATTAAAATTTATCCTTCTAATAAGATTTTAAAATTAATTAAAATTTATTAAAAAGATAATTTTACGATCTGTGAAACAGTCTGAGTTTGAGAGTCGATTACGCGTGGGGAAGGATTAGCACCCCCACGACGCCCATTTAAAAACGGTACCACTTAACTACGTGTTATCCTTTGATTTTGATTAAAAATAGTCTCATTCTCGGTGTTTGAAAAAATAATTTTCTTGATTTTTTTTTGGAATTTGGTTTGTTTGGTTTTATTTTTAAAAAATTATTATTCAAATTTTATTCGAGAAAAATAAATTAGAACCTTTTTTATTGAAATAATTCTCAAAATACTCCAATACGTTAATAATATTAGAAGAACTCTTTCTCACCTAGAGATTTCTTAAGCATCGCTTCTCGAAATACCTAAGAATCTCATCCTCGGAGGTCCGAATTTACTTTTTATAAAAATTATATCATGCCTGCAATGCAAATAATAACATGATGCACACATTTTATTTTTTTATTTTTAGAAATTTTATTAATTTTTATTATTATTCTTATTTAAAAAAATGAAGAATAGAGGAATTTTTATTGTATTAAGGATTTTCTATAAATATTCCAGTACACTGATAATATTTAAGAAAAAATCTTTTCACTTAGGATTTCTTAAAGCATCTCTACTCGGAATACTTTTAGAATCTCATAATCAGACAAAATTTTTTTTCTCATTTTTTATTACCCATTTTTAATTTATTAGTTTATTTTTATTATTATTTTACAAGAAAAAAATTATTGTATTGAAAATTTTTTATAAATACTCAAATACACTGGTAATATTTTTTTTAAAAATTTTTTACCTAGAGATTTTGTAGGTATCACTATTCGAAGTACTTTTGAATCTCATCATCGGACAAAATTTTCTTTTTTTTCTTATTTTTTTCTTATTTTTGTATTATTATTAAATTTATTATTATTATTTAAGTTTATTTTAAAAATTAATAGAATTATATAAAAAAATTAACCATATATTTCATTATTTAATCTAACAAATATAAATATTTTAATATGCATAAATATTAATAAAATAATATATATATTCAAAAAATTCAAAAAAAATTTTTTTACCTGAACCAGACTAGTCAACGATCCGGTCAACACGCGATTCGATTCGATGGTTCGATCTGGCGTCAGCGGTTTGGTCACGTTCAATGCTTCAATTCTGGTCTGGGTCGGGTTCAGCAGTTCGATTTCGGTTCAGTGGGACCAGTCAGAGGCTGATCAAATAAGCGGATCTCAGGTCAGGTGCGTGGATCTCGGTCGAGTCACGGGTTGACTCATGGATCTTTAAGGTTCAAAACGACATCGTTTTGGACGTTTATTGAAATTGTGTCATTTTGGCTATTGATAGCTTATATAAAAGCCAAAAAAAAAAAATTTTGGTCATTCATCCCCTTTAAAAAAAAAAAGCTCTCTTTCCTTTTTTTTTTTTTTTAGGTCGACCTGGGACCAGTGGTTGTCCGTGTGACGGCCACCGTGATCCTCGCCGACGGTGAGCTCCGATTGCTGTCGTCTGTGTCGAAAAATTCTAAAAAATACCCACAAACTTCTCTCGACCCCCTGAACACAGATCCGACCTTCTTTTCACCAAAAAGAATCTTCAATTTCCTAGATCTGTTCTTGAAGTTTTGGTGAAACCATTTTTTTTTGTATTCTAACTTTTTATTTTTTCGAAATTGACTTTGTTTTTTTTTTTTAGGGGCCTTGGTGCTGGGTTCCTCCCTGCGGGGAGGACTGAGCTTTTATTTTTTTTTTGGCAGAATGTGTTTTTTTTTTCGCAGGGGTTCCTTCTTTCCTTTCTGTTTCCCTCTTTTGGGTTCGGCTAGGAGTTCTATAAATAGAGCTCCGGTCATGTGTGGCACAGGGCTCGACATGAGGTGCAAGCACAAGCCTAATGCCATTTTTATTGTTTTTGTCTGATCTGACAGTGGTAGGGCTACGAACCAACGGGATGGGTGATCAGAGAGGTGGGGGTAGGGCATGATCGTAGGGTTTGGTGGTAGTGGTGCCAGGGAAGGCACCACTGCCATCCCCCATTTTTTTTGTCTGTTTTATTTTTTTTTGGTATCTTGTATTTTGATATTTTTTTGTATTTTGTATTTAATAATATTTTTTTTGTCAGACAAATTTGATGTCCACATACTAAATATTTTTAACAATTTTAGAAAGAAAATAAGTCTCCACAGTCTTATGTAATTAGCGAACAAAATTTATATAAAATTTTTTAGGTAAAATTTGTGAAATAATTTTTAAAATTATTTAATAAAAGTTTTAATAAAAAGTTCAAATTGATAGATAAAAAAGTTCAATATAAAAATCAATAATATGTAAAAAATTATTAAAAATATTATTTATAATTCAAATTTGATTAATATTTATTCAACTGAAAAAATTTTATTAATATTTTTATTAAAAATATCTATCTAAAAAATTTAAAAATTTATTAAAAATTTTTAAATTTTACACACTTGATCTATTTAATAAGATTTTTTAATTTATCTGTTTTAATTTTTTATTTTAAATTTTAATTAATTATTTCAAATAAAAAATTTTACTATCTTTACCTAAAAAACTTTTTAAGTCTTTGCCGTTAGCTAATAGGTGTGCCCATTTTACTTTTAACTTTATCCCCTTTTTTAAGCAAACCATAAAACTTCGGACTTCAAAGCCTTTTTTGTCTCCGTTGCATGTGAGGGAATTAAAGCTAAAGTGACGTCCTGTTGTGAGCATTTTCGTCTGCATCATGTGGGCTCTACATTATCTTTTTTATGATCCAACGGTGATGAACATGACATTGATCTACACAATCACAATTTCCAGTGACGCAAAGGTGCTTGGTGCACACGAGGAACCTTCTTGGAACCAATTGGAATTTGTTTTCTCCTTAGTTGTCTATATATGTACGCAAAGCAAGCAAAAAACATTAACAGTTGAAAACTTTAAAAAAAAAAAAGAAGTTTGTGATTATGGGGTTCTCTGAATCAGACCTTGGATGCAAGAAGCACCCACATCACCAGCAAAAACAAGGGGTTTGCCCTTCTTGTCTAAGAGAAAGATTATCCAGTCTTTGTTCAGCTTCTTTCAACGAAGCTTCAAGAGTTGCTCCTTCGTTTACTTTTTCTCCGGCTGACCACTCTTCGGCTTTCTCCTCAAACTCTGCATCCCCGGTTCGACATCGTATTTCCCATAAGCGAAACGGTTCCGGGGTGATGGGAATCATGGGATCGTCGTCTTTCATGGTAAAGGTTGGTACTAATTATGGTTTGAAGAAGAGTAGATCGATTGCTTTTGAACCAAGAAAGTTCGATGATGAAGAGGTTGAGAATGGAAAGAAGAAAAAAGGGTTTTGGTCTAAGTTGCTTCGGTTGAAAGGGAAGAAGGATGTTCTGACGCATTCAACTAGTATGAGAATGATAGGAAGAATTTTCTAGGGTTCAATTTAAATGAATGAAAGGGAACAATTTTAATAAATTGTGCATATTTTTTTTTCTTTGTTACATAATTATGGGATTGGAATGAATTATGTTTTAGTTAACAGGTTTGAATCCTTTGATTATGGTGTTCTACGAATGATTGTTGATTATTTCTTTCTTTAATCTTTTTGAAGAAACACCAATAGGTCTTATGAATTATTTAGTAAAAAAAACCTGAAATAACCACTTAAATGAAACAAACTCTTGGTCTACTGGTCTTTGAATCTTTGCCTAAACTGATGTCTTTCCATTGTTCACGCTTATCAGAAATGTTGACTTTGGATCATTTTACATCACCATCTTCATAGAATTATAGTACTACAAGTTAGAAGATTTGAGTAGAAAGAGCCGTGATTCATAATTCATATAGTACTACAAGTTAGAAGATTTGAGTAGGAAGAGCCGTGATTCATAATACAACATGATTTAGAAGCGGTCGGTCGGTTCATAAGCGACAAAAAAGTTTTTTATTCTAAAATGAGGTTTCAAAATTTCTACCTTTTTCTCAGCAAATTTTGTTGAAAACTTCAAAACAATCTAAGCAGATTGTCCACATCAAAACTATGGTTCTCGTCAATTTTGTGTGTTAAAATTTAAACCGTTTGGACTGCGACCTTTTCATTGACCATTTTTGTCGCATCGGCTGCACACGTGCTATGATGGCAACGTCATTTTGAAAAGTTCTCGAGACTATATTATACATTTACACTGCGTTTGGATTGTATTTTCGCAGAAACCATCATCACACCAATGCATAAACTTGATTTTTAAGATGGCAGAATCGCCTTCAAAATATAGATGCTTTTAGATTCTATCAGGATGTACAATATCATGTGTAGGAAGTTGACTACCTGACTACATGTTCAATTCAGATTACAGAATTTGCTAAAGTGGAACCACTTTTCTTGATATCACGGGAAATAATAACTATTTTCCCCTATTGTATTTGTTTGAAATTTCCAACTGCTGACAACCTCCCTGGACCCTGGACTCCTACCGCAAGAATTTAATGACCCATATGATCTGTACATTTCGTATGACCGTTTCTACAACAGCAACAAGCACATTTATCCAAATGAAGTTAATATCATCTCGAAGGACCCGTGATTTTGATGTCTGGCTCATTCCCATTTTCATCCTCATCACTATGGTCTATGGACGGCCGTTTTAATCTCTGGAATATCTCATCCAGGGACTCAGAATCAGATGAGTTCACGCGAGAGACCAGTTTGGTTTCCTGATTCTGGCGTAGGGGAAGAAACTTTTTGGCCTCAATATTTGCCTTAAAATTTTGAAAACCAAATTTCATTGATCGCCATGTTGAGGCCAATCCAGAGGATGAATCTCCCTTCTGGTTACCAGAGCGTGAGTTGCCTGCCTCAAGCAATGAGACCTTAGCAGAGGTTATGTTATTCTCCACTGGTTTTGGATTTGACACTTGTCGACTCTGTTCTCTTATGGCAGCATACTTGCTGCTGATGGCTTCCCTGCTTGTGCCATATTTACGGGCCTCTTCTTTCAAAGGTCTTGATGGAGACCCCTTCACACCATCAGTGGTTGTTGCCTTCATTTCAACAACAGTACGATCCTGAGCAGTTCGCATTTAGTCAGAAACTGAACGCAACTCAACTACAGATTTTAGATGAAAAAGAAAAAAACCATTCGCAGACTTGCTGGAATGAATATATAATTCATAGGAATTTTTAATAGTTGCACTACTAAAAATGTAAAACAACTGCTACTATCTTTTAAGATCAATTACGTACTGTAATATTGTTGCCAGACTCAATATCAGCACCATTGAAATTTCTTGCCAATGGGATAACTTGTTCACCAGCCTGGCGTCCTTGTTCGAGCCAAGTTCGCTCTGTAAAGAGGACATCTTATTAAATCCTGATCATTCATCTAAATAGATATTAGCAAGCAATTTAAACCAAGATAAAGAGCAGATATTAGCAGAATTCACAAATCAATGCTACTCCTTTGTCATATAAGAATACTCCACTTTGTCATTACTAGATACAGAGCAATAATTATGTATTTTACCATCGTAACCTTTTATTGTCATAATGTGTCACATAAACAGCAAAAGCACAATCACCAACAAAAAATAATAGGTCATATCATGCAAATGTCAAATACACTTCTTAAACTGTGTATGTCCAACAGACTAATATTAGAAACAGGAAGAGTATTTATTTAGTAAACGGTGGGAAGATATTACCAACAGGCAGCATTACAATGGAGAAGAATGAAGTATTGAAATCCTTACCTTTTTGCAGGATGATTAATCCTGAGGGATCAAATCCATCCATATCATCCGCCTCAGTTTGTAATCTAAGTCTCTTCCAGTTCCCAAAGAAACCAACTACACGATCAAAGAAATTGCTAGCAACTAAAAAGGTGTATACAACCATGATAAGTGGATAAATATTGTTGAACCCTTCTCCAAAGAAAGGGACAGCATCATCAATGTTCCCCATTCGCTGAAATGAGAAGTTCAAAGATAACTATCAAAAGCTAAGCAGGAAAAGAAAGAAAATAAGAATAAATGCCTAGTTTGATGGTAAAGCACCTAGGTTCCAGTTTTTGAGCACAGTAAAAATAAAAAATAAACATAAAAATTCATAGCAAATATGACGCAGCAATATATTGTGCCAGCAAGATTTGGGAACTGGAGGTTGAGACAAGTTTTAGATCAGACATAAAACTCATAAAAACATATGATATCCAACCAATGGAAAAAGAACACCAGGAATCAAATGCTACTTCCTAAAATGACGTTGATGTTATGTACAACTATCCTGATCTCTTTATAGAAATTCCAAAGATTACTAAATCAGCGTCCACTCATGAAGTAATAAGACTGAAAGCCAAATGATTTTTTTTTTTTCTCTCTTTTTGCATGGCTAATAGCGACAGACACCAAACCAGCAAATCAAGCTAGACACACTAACACATGTATTTTCCCCCTATAAACCAAAAAGGTTTAACACATTGAAACAAAATTTGAAACAAATTATGAAGATATAATGAAAAACGTTGATATAAAAAATTTTGAAAGAATAATTGAATTGCCGCTTCACTCCAATTACTTAGTCTATTACACATAATATGTGAAATGCCAATCTTGCAATCAACCAAACCAAGCCATATTTTTCTTATATTTCTTCTTAAGTTTTTGCAAGCATTGGAGTCACTGGATTTACACACAGCCAATGAATGCTATAGGAGAATTACCTTTTCAAATATGGTTTTTTTACCACCAAGGCTAATGAGGTTGAGAAAGTTGTATGAAATTGGAGGAGCATATCGAGCAACCATCCTAGTAGAGATGTTTACGAGTAAAATGAATTCCAAAGAACAAAAGGAAAAAAAAAAGCCAATAATAAGAGACCTCTGAGGAAAGACTTACGAGCATATCATGAGCAAGCTGACAGAGCTAGTCTGCCGTGGTGTTAATGAGTAAAACATTAACATTCCAACCTTGAACAAGGAATAATATGTGCAGATGCACATATACATCAGAGGTACAAATGCAAAGACCTGGAAGAATAAGTAATCAGAAGAAAAGTAAAAAAAGAAGAGGATGATGCAGAAGAGAACAAGTTATATAAGGAAATATCAAACACAGATATGATGTTAATGGCAATAGTTACCAACTCCATTCAATGGTGAGGCAATTTTGAAGTGGAAACATGCACAAGGCAAGAACGAAGATTAAAGACTATATATTGCCAAAATGACATTTTACAAGACCTATTTATAGCCAAATCAAATAATAGAATCTATATTGGAATATCTTGATGAAATTACAAGATTTGAATCTCTTTACAGGAGAAAAATGTAAAAATTTTACCTGTACAAGCACTTCCTGCTTCTTTACTGAATTTATAAGGATAGAGAAGAGAGACAGGTCAACTCCTCTTGGTAAAAGAGTAGCCTCAGCTAAAAGAATCGCTGCGGACATGATACCAAGTAAAATAGCCAAGACCTTCTCTAGTTGTTTCCTTATGATGCATCGCCAAATAAATTCTGCAAAAACATTACCATCTAATTAAAGCATTGCAATTTAGAGTATAACACATCCTTCCTTATAAGCCAAGAAAAAATAAGAAGAGAATTTAGAGTAATGATTTCAAATGATGACATCGATAAATCCTTTTTAGAGAAATTGGAAAAAAAAAAAAGGAAAAAGAAAAAAAATGGGCCTTCCCAGAACTAAACATAAGCAAAGAATCATGAAACAAGGCAAATACTGATTCTACGACACAAAATCAAGAGAGCTCTAGTTACCTATTGTGTCTAAGAGTGTTCCTGTTTTCCCAGAGCGACCCGGTCTGAAACTCGAAACATATTTCCTGAAATGACATCATATATGAATATTAAAGGTTGAAAAAACAGAACCAGAATGTTGTGAAACTAGAATAGATAGAAGAAAACCATCCAGTTGAACTGCGACGACCGTAATTTTTTATTGTATCTTCAAGCTGAAGGGCCTCGGAGATATAGGTCATGTACTCACTGCTAGACCAACCATGTGTCAGATACAAAAAAGCAAATGTTCCAACAGTTAGATTGAAGTTTCTATGCACCCTATTCAAATCTAGGAATGAAGAACAGATCTTCCACAAGACATCAACTAAAATTTACAAAAAGAGAGGATGAATATCACCACTTTCCAAGCACATTTAAAACTGTTTGAAGATGGTGTACAACTTGGATTTCAGTATATGTTCAGGGTTGATAACAAACTGAAAGTGTAAAACCAGCATCCAGTTTACCTTTTGTACCGATAATATTCTTCTCGAGCTATTCGAAGATGACGCCTGAGTGTTGCCATTGATTTCTCATCTGAATCGTAGTCCATATCATTTTCTCCCAACCGACCACCTTGTGGCTTAAAGGATGGGTCTTCCCTAAACTGGAGCATAAAAAGTCATGCAATATTCCACAAAAAGAGAACCTTGTTCATAGAACAGTTTGCGAGCAAACACAGAAAATACCATTTGAGCTAACATATTATCAATAACATCCATGTACGGTCTCAAAGGATCACGCTTGGACATCTGATTAGATGTTGCCTGAGCAACCTGATGAAGCAAATAACCAGATAGACAAAACAAACCATAACAGTTAACATAGCAATAATCAAAGAATGTTTAGCCTCTAAGGAAAAATGAGAGAAATTGGTATTGCTGATATACTAATTGCTAAAAGCATGTGGAAACTCCAAAAGATTATCTAAACATGAGCAAATATGTATGTGCTCATGACTGAGCGCATGCGTGTGAGTGAGAGTAACAGATAGAGACCCTGACATGTATATGTGCATCTATTAAAACCATACATCAGTCTACTAGGATTCACACATATATGCATACAATTATTTGGATGCAGGTAGGTACATAGATGGGAAAGAAATTTTAAAACTATAATGGGGATAGCAAATACCACAATAGCATTTGAAAACTCTTGATGAGCTTCATCAAGCTTCACAGCCATTTTGGCAATTTTATGAGAAAGAACTTTTTGTCGGATGGTCCAATCCGCATTTCTCCAAAGGCTCTTTGGAATTTCACTCAAGCCAAAGCCAAGAAGAAATGCACCTGTAACAAGCCCAAACGTATTTGACAAGGCCATAGCTAAACCAAGGATATCACCACTCCTGTCAACAAAAAAGTTATGGAGTAACAAGATAGAAGAACAATATGTCAGCTGACAAGCAACGAAAAGTTTGTTACGTCCACTTTTCTATACTTTGTAGAATCTGTCAATTCGAAAACATATGCACGTAAAATATCTGGTATAGAAAAGCAAATTCAGCACAAAGGATATGAACAGTGAGGAAATCGATGACAGAAATTTAAGAAAAGACATACAAACATGAAACAACTTCGAAAATAATCCTAAACTTTATAAGAAAACCAAGATCATATCAGAAAGACTATAATAAAACCAACAAAAATCAGCAATTTATATAGAAAGAATAGCACACCAATTCCTGTGCATCGTGATGAGGAGAATAAGTCCCACAAGGCCAATAGAGCCCACGACCGAATAGAAGACTAAGTTGACATGCACACTAGTCTTCAATCTTTCAGTCGCGGTGAAGTCTCCAGCATCTTCAAAACCCTGAATAAGGGGCACCACAGCCCTGCTTAGAGAGATAACATAATTTAACTACATGAGGAAACACACCACAATCTGCAAAACCATATAGAAGAATAATCCCTACTCGCAACAAAATCATCCCATAACATTACCACACTAGACAAAACAACAAAAGGATAAGTACAACCATAAGTCATTGTCATTTCAAACCACATACAAAATCACAACAACATGAATACAATGAGCCGCTCTTGAACATTCCCCTAAAGAAATTGATCTAGAATGCTGTAAATTTGCAAATTCCCCGTGAATTTCAGTTCCATAAAAGGACACCCATCAATAAACAAACCATTCTAACGAACTGTAAAGAAACAAACGTACCAGGTAAGAAGAAAGGTACCCCAATAAGACCAGCTCCAAAAGAATGAAATTTGTCCATTTTCATTAGCATTTTCTGGCTTCGATATCGTCTGCACAAATTTTGATAAAATTTTCGAATTCGATTAACCCTAATTTACATAAAAAAAGACCGATCAAGTAAATAAAACAAAATCTCAGATGGAAAAAAAATTTAACCGTCCAGATATCGGCGGGGACGAGGATGATGATGGAGAGAGAACAGAACCAAGCGTATCCAACGGTGAAGAGGACGTAACGAGGGACATCGGGGCCAGCGAAATACCTCAAGGTGAAAATAACCATGCCTATGGTTAAAGGCAACGAGATCAGGTAAAATACCCACATCTCGCCTTGCCTTTTCTCTTCAACGAAATTTTTTCCTTTTTTTTTTTTTTTCTACTGGAAATTTTTGCCGATCTCGGTCAGTCACGGTGGTGGTTTTGTATTGCGCGCGAAGCATCGTGTGGGCCCTGGGGTTGGGTTAGTGTTAGTATAGTCTTGGAGCTTTAACTTATGTATCGGCCCATTTGATTTAATAGTTAATGTGAAAATTTGAAATTAATTAAATTCAAATATTACATCTCCTAATATTAAAAAAAAAAAAACTTATAATAATCATTTTAAATTTTTTTCACTTTATTATTAAAAATAATTAAATCCAACATAAACTGATAAATATAAACTTTTCTTTTAATATATATAGAAGAACGTAATTTGAGAATAAAAAAAAATTACAAGTATTGTTTCGAACTTTAAATATGCAAGATGAAGATGAACAAAAATGGAAAAGGTGAAACTAATGATCTTGCCCTCTTAAATTGTTTGATTTGAATAAAATTTACTTGTAATTATTTCAATCTTTGAGACCATAATAAAGTTGATAATGGAAAATACTAGTAGCATTTTATATTTTAAGCCTCTTAAGTTTCCAAACATTTTAAGCCAGTCCATCAAACTTTGCACATTAAAAATGTTGATTATCAATCATCCATCCATTCCTTTTATAAAAATGTGTATCTATTGGTATTTATAACACAAATTGTAAGCTGATAGGATGAATAAGATAAATAAAAGATAAATACATAAAGATAAAAAAAAAAAAAAAAAAACCCAGTAACTAATGATAAGTTATAGTGAAATGATCAGTAGAGTGATCATGATTTGTTACAGTTTGAATAATCAGGGAAGTGATGTTGATAATCACGATCAAATCATGTCTCGAACAAATCTTTAGAGATTTAATTGATATTATTGATTCAATTTAATCCATGCATATTTTTACCGTAAAAAAATTTTAAAAATGAAAAATAAGAGATTTGATCATTTACAAAGATATTAGTATTTTTTCTCTTTAATAATAGTAATATAACTTGAGTTTGCTTGTTAATTAAGAACACAAAGTAAAACTTAAATTCTTTTCCCTCCTCCAAATCCACTGCTGTCACTTAATTCGTCCTTCCCTCAATACTATACCTTCTAATTTAGGACCTAATTGATGAAGTGTATATTTCAAATGCTTCATGTAAATTTAATACATAAGGAATCTGGGTATGTCCATGTTTTGATTTTGAATTCTTTATCACATATGGGCTGTAGCTTTATAAGTAGGTTGACACCCTAACCTTACCCGACGAGTTTCGACCCTACTTAACATCATAAGGATGATTTTTTTTTTTTTTAAATTAAGTTTCGAGTCAGTCGGATTGTGTATTGTTAAGAAAAAATCAAGATTAAATCAGATTCGGATTTTAGGCAAACCGACCCGATATTATATAAAAATAATTTTTTTTAATTTTAATTTTTATATTTTTATATATTTTATATTTAAAAAATAATATTTTATTAATTTCAGATTGAATCAGATGAGATTTATATAATATCGAATCGGATTCGGGTATAAAAAAAATTTTAAAAATTAGATTGGATCAAATTTGATTTTTTTTATTATAAAATTGGATCAAATTCAAAACGAACAAAAATCTAACCTGACCCAACTCGTTATCAACTCTATTTATAAGTAAAGATTGTTTTTTTCCTATTAAGGGTCTTCTCTCACGTGATAAAATCGTGAGAGCAGGTTTCGAGTCTCCAAAATAGACAATATCTTAATGGATGCAGTCTAACCATTTCTACATCACTAGTGTTGACTCGTTACATTAAGAATGTCGTATGTTAATTATAACATTAATTAAGGAGGCTAATGTTAAGGGAGAAAAGATTTGCCATCTAATAATCAAGTATTGGACTGTGAATCCACCATTTTTTTATCGAGATATTTTTTGAAAAACAAAACCGTAACAACAAACGTTTAAATTCATGAAATTGCAATGTGTTGTGTCTTAAATGTATAGACACAAAACACAATTAAGCTAAACCCAAACATGATTTATTTTGTGTCTTGAGCAACAGGTCTAAAATTACTGAGTCTAAGAAGAATGATGGAAAAGTGATCAGGATATTGAGAAGATGGAGAAAGAGCTAGCTCAAAGGTTGCATGACATAGGAATCAAAGGAACTTAAGAAATTAATCTCATTACATTCAAGAAATGAAGGCTGTGACCGAAAAACTTTCAGATACCATCTCCAGTCAGTTGTTTCCATCATAGGCTTGTTGTTGATGGGTTGCTTTGATTTTATGTTTTGCCTGGTTAGATACAGTAACTTAAAACACCATCTACTATACTTTTTTAGCTAGTTCTGGATATTTTAATCCAATTACAACTAAGTATATATGAATTCTTTGATTTTTTTTTTTTAAATATTTAAGTTGGGGATGGGAAGTTGTGGAAATGTGTTTGTTTTACCCAGTTACTCCAAGGAGTTCTTCTCTTATATATGGTGAAATGATAGAAAATGGGTCAGTTAGCCCAAAGTGTCATCCCCTTTTGGATGTGCATCTTCCTCCCTTTTCCTCTTTCATGATGCCATTGTTTTACATTCAAACTAAAACAAAAAAATTGAATTTAAAAGAAATGCAAGACAAGAATAGAGTTGAAAAGATTCTTATATATCATCCAGAAGTATATATATTTATAAAGCTTCTTCTAGATGACTTCCCACTCATAGCCTGGTAGTATATTTTCACTCAGTAAGGTCCAGTGATGTGGAATGTAAGATATATATTACTATAGTAGTGTGTTTTAGGAGGAAGAAAAAACAAACAAAATACTGCGTACATAATACATTTGGGCTTTTCTTTTGCTTATGTCTGTTGGAATATTGCATCAGTATACTGATTGATATCCAGACAGCATGTAAGTTGAGACAGTTTCCAACATCCTGAAATCAATGTCAGTGTCCCATTTTTGAGATCCCCATCGGCAATCACAGATTCATGCCACAAAAAAGGTCCACCCAGAAATGAAAAAATCCCCCACCCCCCAATGAGGTTTCAAAAGCACAACACCACCCACACAAACTGTCAAACTTTGAAGCGCAGCTTCCCCACCCCACACCCCCTCTTCCCCTCCCTTCATCATTAGCTTTTCTTCTTTTTGCCAATAGCTTTTGATCTCACTTCCCTTTCAGGCCTTCTATCTATTGGAAGATTCTCAAAAGCCTTTGCACGTCCTTTGGTGGTAATTGGTTTTTATTTTTCTTCTCCTCTCTGCTTTTTGAACATGGAATGGGGCCTTTGCCCCTTTAAAGTTTTCACCTTTAGCCTTTTTTGTCCAAAACCCATACTCAAGTGATGGTGATCAAATTCATACCACACGTGATTTTTTATTTTTTTATTGAGAAAAAACTTAGAAGTGAGGAAGTTATCTATTTTTAAAATTAGGACAAGCTGCTAATTCAATTAAAATTTATAAATCTGTTGGATTTTAACCTTCAAAATTTTTAAACTTACATATCACCTATCAACGAGGGATTGTAAAGAAATTCGAACCTGAGTGCTAGTGCATTCAGCATTCATCCTTTACCATTTTTGTCTACCGTCATCGAACACTATACATGGCTTTACTTGTTAGAAAATTTAACCTCAATTTTAATTGGTTTCCACCTACTTTTTTTTTAGTATTAATTTCCAAATTAACCAAGTAGTTGCATCATTGGAAAAGAATCTGTCTAAAATTATTAGGTTATGGACTTTTAACAAATCAACTTTGCAGGTGTGAATTCCACAACTTTGTAATATTCTTCCTAAATTATCTAAGCATATTAAAATAAACTTTCAATTTTGGTATAAAACACAAAGTCAACAAAGAATTTATCTTTTTCAACATTTGGTCAGAGTTTATTTGAACTACCATCAGCCTAGTACTTAATAGTTAGTGAAATCTGAACCTTGGATTCCATTTTTATTATTAACCTTTTTTGCCAATTGGTTCATTTCTTTTATTGTTCTTTTCAATGCAAGAAAAAAAAAAGATGCTTGTTTCTTAAGTCATGACTTCCTTTTAATGTACTTTGAATGGAATAATAATCGTTTGTGTCTTTACCGTATCTTCGACTCATTTATCCGGAAACTTGGTCCATGTTGTTGTGGACTTTTGTCGTCTTTATCACATTTAAATAAGGATGCAAAGTCAACAAATTCATAAACGGAAAATCGGAAGAGTGAATTATAAGATTATCAAATTTTTTGAAATCATGGCTTTTGCCTGCCGTGCTTAAATGCAAGTTGAAAGTTTTTTTTATATATTTTTTATAGAATTGATTATGATCGGGAATAAAATTATTCGATTATTACATTTTCGTAGGAAGGTGATGGGTCGATTAAGAGAAAATTTTATATTTGATCCGTGAATTTTCTTTTTGTTCATTTATATCCGAAACAAAGGAAACTGTCTTCATATGTTGCATTTCTAAAGATGTCCAAGGAAAATGATACAAATTTAGTGAAGTAGGGAAGACTTCTACCTAATAAAGCAAGTGAAAAGGACTTCCATTGAAGATTGCCAAAGTAAATACAACCATGCACGAGACTCACACTAAAAGAAGGTGAAACTTTTTCTTTTAATGCATGTCATTTTTTTGTTTGTTATCATACGTTTTATTGCAATGCAAGAAAACCCATTAATTTAAGAAAATTACACTTCCAACTACTCCCATATACAAAATATTCTCAACGAGGCTACTCTTTTATTTCTTTAATAGTTAATGGAAAGAAACTCACGTTCATGCAAAACCCAAATTCATTCAAATTTAAAGTATTTATCCAAAGAGGGAAAAAATGTGTTGAGCAAAAAAAAAATTCGTCAACAGTTGTGTGATTTACTAATAAAATGTTGAATTTTTAATTTTAATAGATATGTCGATGGATAAAGTATGAGGAGAATAAAATATTTTTTATCTCCATATTTTTATATTATACATATTTATGTACCTTTATTTAATTGATATTTCAAATATATTCTCATACACATTTTTGTGCACATTTAATGGGTATGGGTATAGTTTAAAAAAATAAAAATAATAAATTTTATTTTTTATATTTTTTATTTTATCTTATATATTTAGGTACTTTTTATAAATATATATTAATATATATTTTTAATAAAAATATATTAATTTTAATTAATTTAAAATAATAATTTATAT